GGTATGACAGCTCCTTTTCCCAAGTGGGGATATCACCGAGGTGCGTGTTATACATGGTCTCCCAGAGTTCCCCAGCAGGATTTAAGCTCCAGGGACCCACAGTGGTGACTGTGTTAATAACACACCCTCTATGGGCTATCTTCCCTTCATCAGGTCATCCTCCTTCTTTATTGGTATTGCCTGACACAACCTCTTAAATAGATTCCTTTCACTCAAATTCTTGTCTCGAGGTTTGCTTCTGGAGAAACTCAAACTTCTAGGAATATGTCCTATAAGTTACCCTTGTTGTTGTTATGTACCATTGAGTCAGACCGGACTCATAGCAACCCCTCCTTGGGTTTCTGAGGCAGTATCACTACGGAAGTAGATTGCCCAACCTTCCTTCTGAGGAGTGGCTGATGGATTTGAACCACCAGCCTTCTGGTTAACAGTCAAGTGCCTTAGGCACTATGCTACCAGAACTCTTTACCCTTACATATATACAAAAATCACAATATATTCAATATATTAATTCAGCATTATTTGTATTAGCAAGATATTGGAAATGATATATCAACAGGAGACTGATTAGATTCATTATGACGTACAGACAGGGGAATTCTATGCAGCTGCATAAGAAATGAAAAGGTAATTTATGTCTGCATAGGAAGCAATGTCTGAGTAATATTCATGAAAAAGCAAAATGCTGAACAGTGTGGATAAATTAAGCTACCATTTGCATACAGAAGCCTACATATATATGTGCACTCTTGTGTGTATGTATGTTTGCATAAAATTGGACTCTTTCTGAAGGAGACTCCCAAAACACATAACACTAGCTGCCCTTAAGGAAGGCATTTGAATGGTGAGGAGGTGAGAATGGGGAAGAGACTCTTCACCATACACTCTTGCATGTCTTTTGATTTTTTTATATGGACAAGTTTACCAACACAAAAATAGAAGTAATATTACGATAACAAATGAAAGCATAGTTAAGGGGAGGTTTATCATTCTTCATTTGATGTATTTATTGAGCCTGTCTGCTCGAGTGGAATGGGTTGGGATAGGCTTCTGCTGGCTGACCAGCGCCTGGCTCCCCCTGTGGTTTCTCCTTGGCAGCCCAATCCCAGCGCACAGACTCCTGCAGGACTGGGCACTTGCCCTGGAAGGAAGGGCTTGCTTCTTTCAACAGGGAGAGGATCTGTCGTGTCTCCCTTGATTCCCACCCAGAAGAGTTCCCATCCTTCCTCCCTGGAAGGCCCCAAAGCATCTTCACCCATAAACACAAGGGAGTCCATGCAATTCTTTTCAGTCAGAGAGGTTGTACTAAGACATTTGCCTCTATGCATAGACATCTGAGTCACACACCCTCACACATGTACACACACACACACACACACACACGAATGAAAACCCAAGCAGGTCTTTTCTGGGTGAGACATCACTACCCCAGTCTCCTAATGGATATGTCTGTCCAGTAGCCTGGGCCTGTACGTTGGTCAGACCAAAGATGGGCTCCTTGCAGGAGAGATCGCTCAGTAGGTTCAGAATTGTTACTGGGGTGGAGCTGTTTGGAGAGCAGTCTCACTCATCATGTCCTTGTACTGCCGTTTGAAGAAGCCAAGCTGTGGGGACAGAGATGAAGTGTTTCAGGGACAGAGGAATCAGGACCACAGAAGCCAGGGGAGCAAGTGTCAGTTATGGAGA